AGGGTAAATTTGGTTCAAAAATGAAAATTGAGGGACCAAGGAAAGTATTTAACCTAAATCAAATGAAAAATTGAGTCATGACAATTGCCCTCTCTTTACTTTTTTTTTTTATTAGAAAAAGAAAGTAAAGATAAAAGAATAACTTGATTTTTAAACTAAAACATGGAGAGAGATAAAATAACAAGAGATGTTACCTATATAAGTTAGATTTCAGGGCAACTGAAAATTAAAAACTGGTAATATGAAATGTAATTTTGAAAATGAAAGGTGATAATGAGCAAATGAAATAAAGAGTCGCATGTTGGGTGTAGATAAGTTGTTAAGAGAATGAATGCACTAAAAACGTAATAAAGAGTTCACTAGATGAAGTGATTTGTGAAAGGGAATACACCGGATGAGGTGATCCTAAGTTTGTTGGATGAGGCATTAAAATAGTACACCAGATGAGGTGACTCATGAAGGGAATGCATTGGACGAGGTGATCCAAAAATATGTCGGACGAGGTATTAAAGGAGTGACTCATGAAGGGGATACACTGGATGAGGTGATCCAAAAATATGCTAGACGAGGCATTAAAGGACTACACCAAATGAGGTGACTTATGAAGGATATACACTAGATGAGGTAATCCAAAAATATGCTAGACGAGGCATTAAAATAGTGCATTGGATGAGGTGAATCATGAAAGGTATACAATAGGTGAGGTCATCCAAAAATATGCCAAACTAGGCTTTAAAGGAGTGCATCAGATGAGGTGACTCATGAAGAAGATACATTGGGTGAAGTGATCTAAAATTTGTCGGATGAAGCATTTAAAGGAGTACACCAGACGAGGTGACTCATGAAAGATGAAAGGGATACACCAAACGAAGTGATCCAAAAATATATCAAGCGAGGTATTTAAAGGAGTACACCAGACGAGGTGTTTAAAGGAGTACATCGGACAAGGTGACTTATAAAGGGGATACATCGAGAATACACTAGATGAGGTGACTCATAAAAGGGATCACTAGATGAAGTGATCCAAAAATATACAAGGTAAGGTATTTAAAGGAGTACATCGGACGAGGTGACTCATAAAGGGGATACATCAGACAAGGTGATCCAAAAATATGCCAGATAAGGCATTAGGGAATGCATCAAATAAGGTGACTCATGAAGGGGATACACTAAACAAGGTGACCCAAAATATGCCAGACGAGGCATTTAAAGGAGTGCACCGGATGAGGTGACTCATGAAAGGGATGCACTAAACGAGGTGATCCAAAATATGCTGAACGAAGCATTTAAAGGAGTGCACCGGATGAGGTGATCCAAAATATGTTGAATGAGGCATTAAAAAGAGTACACCAAACAAGGTTACTCATGAAAGGGCTATACTAAACAGGGTGATCCATGTCGGACAAGGCATTAAAAGGAGTACATCAGATGAGGTGACTCATGAAAGGGATGCACCAAACAAGGTGATCCAAAAATATGTCAAACAAGGCATTAAAAAAGTGTACCAGATGAGATGCTCATGAATGGGATGCATCGACAAGGTAATCCATGCCGGACAAGGCATTAAAAGATTACACCATACGAGGTGACTCATGAAGGGGATGCACCTAATGAGGTGATCCAAAATATGCTAGACAAGGCATTAAAAGAAGTGCATCGACAAGGTGACTCATGAAGGGGATGTTATATTATTTGAGATAACTTATGATTTTATGATAGATCATTGCACAAGTGCTTGTATTTAGTTTCCTTGAGCCATGAAGTAAGCCTACTGAGGTTTTATCAAGTGTATGATTTTGTGAATTAGAAGATGGGATCTTTCCTCTCCATTTTTGATGAAGTTTTGAATTTCATGGAGATGTTGGATTCATTCTCTGTTGCTATCAATTAAGGTTTGATGCATTTGTCATTTGAAATAATTCTGTTGAGGATATTTGGAAAAAGCATTTAATTATGAAAACAAAACGTTAAAAATTTGAGGATTCAGGATGCTTGAGATTCCGTTGAAGAAAACTTTGAATGAAAAGAGGATTTTGTGTTGCAAAACATGACATTCCATGTGAAATCATTTGCATTTTGCATTGCTTTTTGAAGAATAATCTAATTCATGATTCCAAAAATTTCATCTATCATTTGTTTCAAAATACAAGTGAGTTGCCCCCCAACTTGTATGGTTTCAATTCACTATGTTTCTTTCGAGAGATTGTTCTTGCCCCTAATATGTGACTTTTGAGTTTCACTCTTTTCTTTTGATTTATTTCTCCTCCCTTTTCTATCAAAGAGGAATTGATCTCAAATTCATAAGCAAATAAGATCCCTCAAGATAATAGCTTAATGAAAGGGGTCAAGTCAAGTTTATGGCAAAGAGGTATCTTTGGAGTGATTTTATGGTACCATATCTCTTTTTCTTTTCTTTTCTTTTTTTTTTTTTTTTTTTTTTGAAGGGGTTGAATATGAAACAAAGAAGATGCTTGAAAAGAATAAAATTGGATGAACGAAGATAGCTTTCTCTTTTTTTTGAAAAAATTGAAGATTAATTGGGATTGGTTCCATTCCATCAAGGAATCATCACTTAAACTTATTCCCTTTTTTTTCCATCTTTTTCTTTTAAGGAATATCATGTTTAAATTCAAGAACCATAGATTTTCATATAAGGACTTCGCTTGGGTTGTAATGTGGTATTGGGGCTAAGCTATTCAAAAGAAAGGAATATAAAGGCTCAAAATTCCCAAACTATCCCTCATTTTCGCTCTTTGCTACCCAAGCTCTTAATGCAAGTATAATCGAAGAAATAATCATCTTGGCTTTTGAAAGTTGATGATTGCCCTTTGTTTTGCTTAAAATGGGTGACTAGGGGCAATGCTAAGTGTTTAAGGATGAAGAAATAGGACCTTTCATCATTGAACCCTTAGCTCATTAAATTTACAACAAGATTTACCATCATTTGCTTAGTTATTATCATCACCAAGATATCTAAAGTTTCAAAACCCTCAAAAAGGACTTTTCACAGGTTGTAATGCGGCTTGAGGTATAGTCATAGAAAGAATGCTTAAGCAGGCTCAAATTTTCCTAATTTTCCCCTAGTTATATGCTTTCACTAGGAGCATTTTATTTTAAACTTGCTTTGTATTATTTGTTTTTTCTTTTCTTTTGACTTTAAACTTCTTCTGCAGCTTTGCTCTTTTGAGCCTGACTTTTGCTTTGATTTTCTTAATTTCTTTTCATCTTGATTTTCTCTTTATTCTTATTTTTTGACTTTTAATCAATATTTCTTTGCATATTTTTAAGAAGAATTTTGCCCCTAGTTTGGCATGCAACCATTTCCTAAGTTTGGGATAGGTTATGAAAGAAAAGCTTATTGTCTAATTGGCTTAAAGTGGTTAACTAAAGGATGGATCTTAATGGGTTAGTGTTTGGGAAAAAGGCTTATGAAAGATGGCCTCTTATCTTTAAATTCAAACCTCAATTACCTAATGTAAGCATAGGTTCGAGATCACTTATCTCAAACATATTATAATATTAAGCTTGATCCATTGTCCAAATTATTTGAGCTTGGATCCCTTCTTGATTACCGAGGTAAGTCTCAGGTTGAGGTCTTCCTAGTTGCATGATAACTACAGTGAGAATGCACTCACCTAATCCCCCATTCTCAAAATGCCCTTTCTCATGGACATGTTAGATCCTAATTATTTCGTTAAGAAGGCCATGTGGATACCTCATTAAGGGCTATAAATACCCTTATGGGTCACCTCTTGAAGGTAATTGAAATTGACCTAAAACTTCTTTTCCATTTCTTCTAAGAGCAGACCAAATTATTGTTAACTTAAGCATTAGAGTGTTTACTTCAAGGACCAATCTTAGGACTTTGCAAGTCTGTTTGAAGAGAAGACTTGGACTGGGAAGAACTTGAAGATCTATTGCAATTACAGCTAAGTGATGACAATCACTAGGCCTAAGTTAGCAAGCTTCCTTTCATTATTTAAAATTTTGTTTTTCGATGATTCCTTGATGAATAACACATATTAAAGGCTTCTAAGGTTTTGAAAAGGAAAGAGAGAATTTTTAGGATGCAATAAGCCCTCCATCATAACGATTGCTATACTTTTGAATTTTGAGATCAACTTCTCCTTCTAGACATTTCTCATAGTTTTTAATCTCTCATGTTTTTTTATTTTATTTTATTGTTCTTTATTGTATCTCCTTGAAATCTCTCTACTATCTTTCTTTTTTTTAGCTCTCCATCATTATGGCACCTATTCTTCAAGAATTGGGGCATCAAAATTGTATCCAAATTCAAAAGATAGAATGATTTATGAAAGCATTGATTTAAGAGTGAAGAAGAATAAAAACTTGCAAAATATAAAACATCTATAAAATTAAGCGATGGGGAAAATATTTTTTTATTGAAATTGAAATGGACAACTTTTTGAAAACATGAAGATTAAAATGGGCAACCTACCTAGCTACCCCTTCACAATCGCAAGTCAAAATTAGAGAGAGAAAGACAAATTTATTCAATGATAAAAATGGAGAAGACCTGTCATATCTCATTCGTCAAAGACCTCATCAAAAGTGGAGAAGAATGAAGCACTGACTTCATCATCACTAATCGTATGTAAGACTAGTAGTAAAAGCCTCATGATTAAGGAAAGCATTATTGGTGATGTTAGGACTAGACTTCTCAACTCTGAATTGCAAATTTTAGACTAATTTGATGAAAACAAGTCACGTGACCAACTTTGATGCAAGAAAATGCAAGAAAAGTCTGAAGGACTAGCTTAATGAAAATAAAGGGATTGGTGAAAGCAAAAATTAAAAGAATGATTTGACGGGGCCAAAAGATGATGGTTTTATTTGATGAAAATGAGTACTGAAGATTGATGTAGTGAAAATAAGAGCTAGAAGACTGAAGGTGAAAATTGAGAACCATTTTTTAGTAAAATTGAAGATTTTATTTGATGAACACAAAAAGGCAAAAGATTTAAATTGAAATTTAGAGG